CACCCAAAGGGGGGTCACAACCCACAGGGTGATTAAGATATTGCTCTCCGAATGCAATTCTTTTTTTTTCTTAAATCAAGGCTACCTTCCTTTCCCCCTGTCCCATTCATATCACTTGTACTTGACAATAAAGTTTATTGATGCACACTACTTGACAATAAATTCATTGATGCAAACTACTTGAAACAATAAATTAAATTGATGTCAAACTACTTCACAATTTGTTTTTCCTTATTCAGTGAGTAAAATGCAACATTCTTTACTGGATATGCCATGAATTGTGGTTTGTGGCTGTAGCATAAACAACCTACGTTATGCTGATGACACTGTCTTGACAGTGACATGTCAGAAAGAACTACAGGACTTGACAGATACTGTGGTGATTGAAAGTTATAAAAGGAGCCTCAGTTTGGATCTGGCCGGCGCTCAACACTCAGGGGAAAGGCGAGACGGACATACAATCAGACAGTTTCTGGTTCCATTGAAACTGGAAGTCTTCGCTTGCTGCTGAAGATTGGGGCGGGGCGCTTATGGTGGTGTCCTGCAGGCTGTGGTGTCAATTCATAATTCAACAGTTTGAATAATGGTATGCCAGAGGTAATGGTTATATCAAAGAAAGGAATATTGACTATTATATCAAAGAAAGGAATATTGACTAAATGTGCAATACTGGTCAAAGACGTTATTTCAAGAAAAGTACAGGAATGACTGGCCGAGCAGTTACAACGAGGGATTCTTATACGGAATACCAGAGTTTGACGCCCGATAGGGTGATGGGGGTTTCCTGTCGGAGCAAAAATAAACATAATAAACTGCACAGTCAGTGGCGACAGCACTAGACATGCAGGCCTGAAACCTCAGACTAACGACCCATTGTCTACGATGTTCTAAAAAAATAAACGTAAATACTGACAGAAGTAAAACTGACTGTGACAGAAATTCAAGCATCTAGAGGTACATTGATAACATCCGACGGAAGATGTATCACCGAGATAAAGAACAGAATAGAGTAGGCCCAAACTGCATTTTATAAAATTAAGAAAATTTCATGCAATAAATCTATGTCATTTGTGGTTGGTATGCAAGCATAAGAGGGTACCTTATTTGTCTGCTCCTTCTTCTTCGCTTTCACCGGCTGTAAACTCCGGCTGAAGTACTGACTGTTCATCCACCTTTGGACTTTGGTATTATTTCAGAACTTAAATGTTGCGTGTACATCCGTTTTACAGAGCCGTTTTATTTGAACGCAGACTGATGGTTCCGTGCTTCTCATGCAGATGCACTCCGACTTCGAAGCTCCCAATTATTCGACTCTTACGACATGTTTGTTAGAGAGGCAGTGTGGTCTAAATCTTGTCCACCCCCCCCCCACCCCACCCCAAAAAAGAGGCCCTAGAAGCCACACGAGAATAAAGAGGATATATGACAACATAATATGTATAATCTTCAAAAGGGGGGTGATTTTGCAAATCGTTCTTTCGCAATCAGATCGGGAATACCCAAAACAGTTCTTGACAACCGTTTTTCGAGTTTACATGTAAGATAGATCGCTGTGTTTCTGATCCTAACATTTCATACGTAAGTAACAATTATTTAGATTATTTAAAACTTCACATGTATACACATATATACAATTATCACGATTTATGTTAAAATCTACATCTAAATTATGTAACTTTATTACATTTATGTTTTTTTACTACTGAATGTCGTCTTCAGTTTCAGTTTTAAATTAGGCTGGTACAGTCTTGTCAACAAACTGACAACATAAAACTTTTGCTTTCACTTTCAGCTGTGTCGATGTGCGTTGACACAATCTGTATCTATTCACACACCACGTGTCTTAGTCTGTGCTTAAATTGATATAACAAACAATAGCTAGGCGCACACGCCATTAGGAAGTGACAAATTTGATTCCCAGCACGGTAACTATAGTTTTGAATTGTTATGCTCTCTTCATTCTTCTTTCTACGAGTGCCCATTATTACATTGATAATTTATATGTGTAAATGTCTACCGTTTATCCTCTCTGGGTTCCTGCGTAAAATGTTTGACACCTTATATATATATATATATATATATATATATATATATATATATATACATACATATATATAATATATAAATTTATATATAAATGTATATATATAAATATATAGATATAGATATAAGTGCATGTGTATATATATATATATATATATATATATATTTATATATATATATATATAAATGCGTGTATATATATATATATATATATATATATATATATATATATATATGTATATGTCACAGACACATTCACATACACACACACACACACAAATGTAAATATACATCATACATATTAAATATTTTTATTTGCCAGGTAATATGCTGATGATCATACAGAAGATAATTTAAACTCACATTTTAAAACTATCGCCAAACGTTTAGCCAAAAATGGTTGAGAAATTCCGCCTTGGTGAGTACAGTGTTTATATATAAAGTGAATGTTTATAAGTTATTTCAAGAGTTGTAATTAGAAAACAATGTTTCTACTGTTTATTGGGGACTGTTTTTGTTTGCCTTAATTGAGGTTTTTATTAATTTAACACACACTCTCACACATACGCACACAAAATTTACGTGACAGATGTCCTTTTTTAACTAATATTTGTCCTGATCAATCGCAGCAAATAAGACTGGACATGGGTTCCACCATCCTAGTCGTCGTGGACTTCATACATCGGTTCTACTCCCTGTGGTCATTGTCCAGGAGCATCCACATGCCAACTGCAGGTTCTACGTGGAGGTCATGATATCGGCCAACGTCTTGCAGCTGAAGCTTGACTTCCAGAGGATGGTGAGTTGACTAGGAGTTGTGTGGTCACTTGGAAAGACCAGTTGGGGTTGGGAAGGGGATGAAGAAAGTTTGTGCAGTAATTTTCAACGAGCAGATTTTTTTTTTTTAGGGGGGGGGGGGGCTGGGTGGGTAGGAGGGGGGCGTGGGGAGGTTTGGTCTTTTTTTTCCTGAATGTTGAATGTTGAATTAAGAGAGGGCATTATGGCACTCGGGACACTCTCATAAGCGCCCCCGTCCCCATCTTCAGCAGCAAACGAAGAGTTGCAAGTTCTGATGGTACCAGTTTCTGTCTTATTATAAATCCATCTCACCTCTGCCTTTATTGTCGAGCGTCGGCCAGATTTTCTGGTAACTCCCCGCAGCTCCCTATCCTCAGACTGTAATGATCTATTTGTGCCTCCACACTGTTCACTCGCGTCCAAAGGATCCTTACAACATCTAGCTTGTCATTCATCAGTTCACTATTAGGTGGTGGAGAACAGGCTAATCTTCTGTCAGCTCGCTTCCAAACACACCGGCATTACCTGGAGAAAATATCCAAAGATTGCTAACTTACAGAGAACTCTGAAATGATACTTGCCACTCTGCACGGAGCATGTCTGTCTCCATCTTTTTTTTTTCAACGTACTATGTGAGTCTGTAACAATTACGGCATGTGTGTACAGCTGATTCTCAAATCAGCGAAAGACACCAGTGACTGCCTCCACCTCCATTCTCAGACTAGACATTGGGATATCATATGCTTGGTTTTGTTGCAGAAAACGACGTACACTCGCTTTTGTTATAAATCCGCATGCACTTCGTCTACCTCTCAACACAGAGCCATTGTATAGATAATCACATCATTTGGACTTACTGAAGGTGAGCAAAAAAGAACACAAAAAAAAGGGGGGGGGGATTTTTTGGGGATGTGATACCGAATATGGGAGTCGCCGTGGCGGAGCGACTAGACGCTCGCCGCTGTCGGAAGGTCGTGAGTTCGCTCACTGGCGGAGCCTGACTTTTTTTAGAAATGACTTTGGCTCCCAGGTCAACCCATCCTTGAGTGGGTACCGAGTGATGATGGTATTGATGATAATAATGATGATGATAATAACGATAGTGATGATGTTGAAGATAATGACACTTATAATATGAAAATGATAATCACAGTGATGATAATGAAAAAGATGACGACGACGAGGATGATGATGATAATAATGACGGTGGTGGCACAAATAAATCCTTTTGACTGACTTACAAAACACATACAACAAATTGTTTATTGTAAATTACTATCTTATAAAATGTTTGATAGGTACAATAAATTGATTACCTATAACACGCGCTGTTTATTTTAGTTAACCTTAAAGTAACAATAATTTAAACTGACCTACACATTAGCATTTATATGAGTTAACCTAGAAGTAACATTATTTTGAGTTAACCTAGGAAAAAAAACCATTTATTCGAACGACCCAACATAATTATTTATTTTAGGATCCAAATAGAAACAATACATATATATATATATATATAGATTCATCTAAAGTAACTTAAAAAAACAAGACTTTGAAGTAACATTATTTTTGGAGTTGACATAATAATTACATTTATTGTAACACATTCTCCAACAGCTCCACCTTGAGGCTGAAAACCAGAACTGGTCGTTCAAAAACAAGAAACTGAATGATACAGACACGATACAAATGATTGGTATCAAGAAACATGACATCATCGTGTGTCAGACAACAGAGGAACAGCTGGACTAACCAGTTCTTGACCATTAGCTGCAATGCTTACTTTTTTTTTTGAACAAAGAAGACACAAACAATAGATTGTACAATTTATTGCCTGGCGTATGTCGCAGCATCTTGTCAGGTGCATACTACAGTATCAATTACATAAATAAAGCAGAGAAGTGAATCCTTTATTACTATAGTATAAATTCAACAACGATCAAACATGACTGCCTGTGCATGACGAGATACAGTGAAATATGCCAGGCAATAAACTGTGCAATCTATTGTTTATGTCTTCTTTGTTCAAATTTACAACCATGAAACATTGCTTAGTTTTTTTTTTTTGAAATTATTCAGAATTGAAAGCCATGATGACTCTTCATTTTCTGCCCTACAGTCCCTTTTGAAATAAGGACGATTGTTTTTCTTACGACCTTTAACCTCTTTTGAAACCAAGTGATTGTTCCAGTGCCCTTCAACCTCTTTGGAAACACTGAATTCACACTGGGGTAATTAAACCTCGAAATATATGGATCTACACGTACAACACTTGGGAGTCACCAACCGGAATATGAAAGCAAAACAGAGGGATGAATGGAGGCAGGTGAAATCTGCAGCAATTAACCTCAAGGGCTTGTATAGCCGAATAAGAAGCAGAAGAAAAAGAAGAAGAAGAAGAAGAAGAAGAAGAATAAGAAGCAGAAGAAAAAGAAGAAGAAGAAGAAGAAGAAGAAGAAGAAGAAGAAGAAGAAGAAGAAGAAGAAGAAGAAGAAGAAGAAGAAGAAGAAGAAGAAGAAGAAGAAGAAGAAGAAGAAGAAGAAGAAGAAGAAGAAGAAGAAGAAGAAGAAGAAGAAGAAGAAGAAGAAGAAGAAGAAGAAGAAGAAGAAGAAGAAGAAGAAGAAGCAAAAGAAGAAAAAGAAGAAGAAAAAGAAGAAGAAGAAGAAAAAGAAGAAGATGATGATGATGATGATAATGATGATGATGATGATGATGATGATAAAGAAGAAGAAGAAGGATAGGGATGCAGTTAATGTTGTACAGATAATGTGTACTTGTTGTAATATTAACATTTGCTATTTCATGCGTACATGCTTAGAAAAAAAAAATTAAAAAAAAATTAATGCAACCTAAATATTTCTTTCAATGTTTCATATTTTTATGCAAGCAATTTTTTTTTTTAACGAGAGCTGCTGCACCAGAATGGCTAGCAAACTTTTTTTCTGACGCAATGTTTGAGTTCAATCCCCCCTGAAGCAGCACCAACAGCAGAAGCCGCAACAGCAGAAGAAGAAGCAAGAGGAAAGTAATGAGGAAGAAAAGAGAATTCATTTTATACAGGTTATGTGAGCAGTTGTTTCGATATAATAACGTTTGCTATTTGTGGTGAAGTGTCTAAGGGTGTATGATTAACGTCTTACCCACGTATGCAACAGTTTCACAATCGACTATCTGACGACTAATTGGGTTCCCTAGCGGAACTATGTGAACTAAGTAACTTAGTTCACATAGTCACATCGTACAACTAACACCGATAACAATCAACAGCCAACCACATCAACAATACGGGAAGAGACATCTCTGTAGTCGTGCATCAGTCTATTTATTGGGACGAAACACAGTGTGACGATGAAGATGAATTGGTGATTATCGAACCACTGTCCGCCTAATGCTCCTATATACCCACTGGTATACTTCTAAGGCGGTATCACATCAGAAGGCGACCCCTAGCCTCCACTTGACGTGTGTCTACAACATCAACACCTTCGACCTACAGGCCCCTCCCCCCTAAGGTCACAAGTAGCCTTTAATAAAAGCCACGGTTATGTGCCCACACTTTGGGTCACTAATAAGGTTAGTTGCGTATCCTTTACAAGACTTTGCAGAACCAACCCCATCAGCCCCTGGCTGTTGTGTGGTTTCACTAGGCAAATTTACGTCCAGTAGTTTGCCATTGCTTTCTGTACGGTTCCCTGATACCACTGTCGAAACCAACATAAGGCTTATGGCCTGCAGCAGGAATCGAACCCGGTACCCCGGCACGAAGCGTTCGCATCGACTTAGCCACAGAGGCGACGAGTCACTAATAACCTATACAAAATAGCTGACAAGAGACTGGCTATGCCCACGGCACTACACATCTAGACCCACAGTCGCAATCAGTCTCCAGAGCGATCAGGAACACATTCTTACACATCCCTTCCCTTGAGTGTTATGTATCGGCCAGATCCACAGGTAACGGCTCGCAGCGCAATTCTCCCCAAACCGTAATGATGTATTAGTGCCTCCGCACTGTTCACTCGCTTCCAAAAGACATTTACAATATTTAGCTTGTCATACACCAATTCACCACTAAATGGTACAGGAATGACAACTGCGAGTGATTGTAAAAGTAAAGTAAAGGACCCTTTCCCACGCATTAAGGCGAATTGGGCATATAGGGCTAGACCTATATTTTTATAGACCAATCGGCACAAGATGGGTGATGTGGTCAGTATAACGCTGGCCGCCTTCACTTTCCCGGGACTGCAACTGGTATCCACTCAAGGCTGGGTGGACCTGGGAGCCAAGGTCATTTTTGAAAAAAAAGTCTGGCTCCGCCAGGGAGTGAACCCACGACCTTCGATCCGCAGAGAGCGTCTAGCCGCTCGGCCACGGCGACTCCCTGCGAGTAAAATAGATACAAGTTGAAATAAGGTAATAAATTCTTAGTGTTTAAATTGATATCTATCACAAGAGTGACTGACCAGGACAATTGACGAGAACGACCAAACCGAACAAGATTGGCGCAATAATAAAACATATGTGTGAATTCTCACAGTCTTAGTAAAATGTCGTTGACACTAACAATAGCAAGTGATGTAACACTGAAGCTAGACAAAACGAGTCTTCGCAGTCATTAACTGTGTGGATTGGAAACATTAGCTCTTACAATTTTATTGTCCAGAGAGCACCACAAAACAACCGCCTTTTCTGAGTTGATGATAGCCCCATCTCTGCACACCAGTTAGTCATAATATACATAATGCCTATTGTCATAGACCCATCCGAAAGAGAGATATTTCATACTGCATGACTACTTCGTCTTGTGTAATTCCTTAGATGTTTCATTGTTGAATCTGAATTAAACACACACACACACACCCACACCGAGGGAGAGAGAGATAGAGATATATATAAAGAGAGATATATAGGGAGATAGAGACAGGGAGATAGCGAGATTGCATGCTTCATGCCGCTTATGGATTGTTCACATAACTGCCAAAAGAGGTGAAACAATAAGCAGTCCGTTCACACATATGCCAGGTCTGTAAAACGGATATGCAACATTTTAGTTCTTAAAAAAGAATATCATCATGAAATTAGACAATCAAAACTTTCAAAAAGAGCTTACAGCCGTTGAGAGATGAGAGCACTTTTTGAATGCCTGCGTACGGGGAAATAACTCCTCCTTTCTTGTAACAAATACAGCCAGCTGCATAGCGTCCCTTAATAATTCCAGCCCACTCACACCCCCACCCTCCTTTTTTCCCCCACCCACCCACGAGGACAATACGTAAAGAAGAGGTCGGCTTGGTCCTTTTTAGGATAAGGTCTATATCATGGCAATGCCAAAGAAAACATCAACACACAGTCCCTCATGCAGCAGACCGAAGAAAAGCAGACACATGAAAAGCGAAAAACTGTCAACACACCACAAAGAAAGACACATCATCGAACGCCCTAATTATAACCTGCAAATTCAGGTTAAACAGGGTCAATTGATAGGGAAAAATCAACAGATAACATCATCATATATCGTCAAAAGATATCATCAACGAATATCATTGAAAGATATCATCAACGAATATCATTAAAATGTATCATCAACAATGTGCGGGCGATGTAGTGGATGACGACTATTTAACACGGCTGCCTGACATGGGAGTTAAAGAATGGTAAAGCACGTCTGTGCAGCCTTCGAGGCTGAGATGGGAAACATAACCAGCATTTAATGGCAACAGTCAGTAGAGGTATCTTGGCGTGGCTGCTGCATCGGAGGAATGGGTAGGCATGGGAATTCCCAATATTCAGGCGCGTCGATTATGACAACATAATAGAACATAACGTAACATCGAGATATATAAAGAAAAAGATGAAGAAAATACATGTAAAGGTGATTTTTTTTGGGGTGTAAACCGCCTTTGCATATATCATGGAAAGTTTTAAGCATGCCCTCTGATACACGATTTAAGATGTCAGAAGATGTCAAGACGCTTCATTGTCTGAAAGGCACTTGATGATCACAGTGCAGTGGTACATCTGAATTCAAACGCTTCATAACTGGAACAACTTGTAATCTAAACGAAAATTTTGAAGTAAATATTGCCTCGGAACTCGAACTTTGCCTTGGAGATCGAATGCCTGGCACGTGCCGATCAAACGTCGAAGCAGAAAATGCAAAAACTTCAGCACTTTCACCAGAGCAGCAGAAAGAAACTATAAAAGACATTTCGGTGCTTTAATAATATCCCACCTCAAACAGATCACGGGACAGTCTGATATTTCAGGGGGTGGTATATAGGCTGCATGCAGTCGTGTGACCTAGGCTGCACTCTCTCGTGGGACGTAGGAGGGTTGGGGTTAGGGCCTGTTCTAGATGTTTTGGGGTCGTTAAAAGCATCAGAAAGCCGGGAAACCCAGTCTTACCAACCTATAAAATGTCGGACTGTCCTGTGACGTCATCTGGGGTAAACTGTTAATAAAGCACCGACATTTCTTCCAGGGAGGAAGAGGGGCAAGCTTGAAGGATTTGCACTGCTGAAATCCAAGACCTTTAATGTTCTTCTTCTTAAAGTCCACACTGTGTGGCGTTTGTAGTCATGTCTATCCACAACCTTTAGTCTTGTGTACTTTTAATCAACTCTGACACAGATGATCCTCCATGTCATGATGTCAAACCGTCCAACATCTGTTCTTTCGCTCTCCCTCTGCCTCTCCTCCCCTCCAACATTCCTACGGTAACGATGTACTCCAGTTTTCTCCTTCTCATC